ATACATACATACATACATACATACATACATACATACATACATACATACATACATACATACATACATACACACACACATACATACATACACACAAACATACACACACACACATACACACACACACACACACACACACACACACACATATACATACATACATACATACATACATACATACATACATACATACATACATACATACATACATACATACATACATACATACATACATACATACATACATACATACATACATGCATGCATGCATACATACATACATACATACATACATACATACATACATACATACATACATACATACATACATACATACATACATACATACATACATACATACATACACACAGACATACACACACACACACACACACACACATACACACACACACACACACACATACATACATACAAACATACATACATACATACATACATACATACATACATACATACATACATACATACATACATACATACATACATACATACATACATACATGCCTAAGTGGAAATCGAACTTAAGTCTTCCGTGGGTTAGGTGAAGAGACTAACCATCCAACCACAACCGTTTCTACCTCTCTTTGTCTTTCTTTCTTTGTTTCCTCTATATTCCCCCCTGGAGCGTTCTTTTTCCCCTATTCCTCCGATTTTGCCCCAGCCTCTCGCTCAATATTGCGCCCTATGAATCGGATAAAATAATCTACCCATAAAATGATTGCTTCTGTGATGGGCTGGTATCCCTGGGGCATGCCGTTACTTATGCTGACAATCAATACTTACCTGTCTGCACGGATGCTCTGTCTCTCCAACATTTTTACAAAGATAGAATAATCTATATTGTATGTTTAGATAAAAGAAATGCATTTCTATAGGGCATGTAGGCTTCACGTGTATTAGAAAATGTATTGATATAATTACATATGTATTATACATATTATATTTGTGAAAGTTCGTCACTTTGGCCGCCTAAAACTTCGGAATCACTTAACTTTCGAATTTGACCAAATTAATGAGGGTTCAGAATCATTTAAAGGGTGTATAGTTCTATTGAGGAGCCTGAAGTCACTGTAGTTTAATTTTCAGGTTTAATTTTTAGCTTCGTTTAGATCTAATCTTGGGAAAGTCTGTCTTCTAAGACGGCATTGCAAACAAGTGAGGTTTCCGTTCAATAGCCGTGCGCACTGCTTCCACACCTTTGAAATTCTGGAGTGTACAACCGCGAAAGCGGAATCGAGAATCAATCTATACAGCACTATATCTAAACCTTCTAATTTTTTGCATCTCTCAGGAATTATTGCTCTATTCCAGTAGAGTGTAAATATAGTGTTCCAATTACTTTCAGTTTTTGGTAATGCACCGATCGTTCCTTTCGTGGAAAGGGGGCCCAGCGAGTATATATATATATATATATATATATATATAATTTGTTTATTTATTCATACATACATACATACATACATACATACATACATACATACATACATACAAACACACACACACACACAGACAGACAGACAGACAGACAGACAGACAGACAGACAGACAGACAGACAGACAGACAGACAGACAGACAGATATATACAATAGAGGGAGAGAGAAAAAGCGACATAGATAGATAGATAGATAGATAGATAGATAGATAGATAGATAGATAGATAGATAGATAGATAGATAGATAGATAGATAGATAGATAACACACAAGTGGACAGGCAGAAATCAAACAGAGAAGCAGACAAGCAACCAAACAAAATAAACTAACAGACAGACTAGCAAACACTGGATTTCCCTTGTCTCTACCTACCCCCATTGTTTTGGTATACCGACTGCCCTCCCAATTAAAAACGATTTTTCCTGAAATCTAATTAGAAAAGAATTTGACTTGGCTATGGGAGATCAATACTTAAGTTTCAGTAACAGACCGGAATTCTTCAGCAAACGTGATATGTTGAGTGTGTGTGTGTTTTGATTGCAGAGAAGCACATCGACATGGCAGCGACAGGTTAGAGCAGGGAGGTAAAAGAAGAAAAAGAGAGAGAGACATACAGAGAGAGAGAGAGAGAGAGAGAGAGAGAGAGAGAGAGAGAGAGAGATAGAAAGAGAAAGAGAGAGAGAGAGAGAGAGAGAGAGAATGAAAGACAGACAGAGAGAAACAGACAGAAGGAGAGAAACAGAGAGACAGAGAGAGAGAGAGAGAGAGAGAGAGAGAGAGAGAGAGAGAGAGAGAGAGAGGGGGGGGATGAATGAACCTATAATTGAGACCTCTATCCATCCATTTGAAATAGTATATTTTAGTGGGTATGGTAATGAATATTCTTCTTCTTCTTCTTCTTCTTATTATTATTATTATTATTATTATTATTATTATTATTATTATTATTATTACTGGCATAACTTTCATCATCATTATTATTATCTTTATTATTATCTTATTAATATTATTATTATCATTATTAGTAGTATTATTATTATCATTATCATTACTACTACTACTACTACTACTACTACTACTACTACTACTACTACTACTACTATTATTATTATTATTATTATTATCATTATTATTATTGTTGTTATTATTGTTATTATTACTATTATTATTATCATTATGCTGACTCTCATCAAAAGTGGTCTATGTGGGAGTACCATTGTAATACTTTATTTTGTTCTGAACTGCCAACCATGACCCTACTAGAATCAATTTTTTAAGAGAGGGGGGGGGGTCTAAAGTGGAAAAAATGACACCTTATTTTAAGCTCAAAAGCATAGGGGTGCCGCCTCCAAAATTACCTTGAGTGTTCCTCTGGGATGTCACGCTCATTCAAAGAACCAGGAAAAACAACAAGTGCACTCTTTGAACTCACACAACAACATTCGAAAAGACAAGGCTCGTATTTTTCCTCGCCAGTATTGTTGTGATTATCGTGAAAGGTTTCAAATTTGGACTCCCTCCAAGTGCTTTCTCGTCGAAAAAAATTGTTGTGGCATCCTTTCGATGTTTTCAGTGTCTGATTAATGAATCTTTCTATGTTTTGTGTTACTTCCTGTTGTCAATTTCCGTTTTTGTATTATTTTTTCTTTTCCAAATCTCATTTGGAAATTTACCTAATCCTTTTAGAGTTCGCGAAAATTTTAGAAATTGTTTTCTGTTTTCTGAGTATCTGTGCCTGTCTGCCTTTTATTTATTTCTTCCTGTTTGTCTGTCTGGGTGTCATCTTTGTCTTCTTCTTCTTCTTCTTCTTCTTCTTCATCATCATCCTCTCTCTCTCTCTCTCTCTCTCTCTCTCTCT